GATCAATTCTGACCGTACCATGTCTGATCAATTCTGACGGTACCATGTCTGATCAATTCTGACGATACCATGTCTGATCAATTCTGACCGTACCATGTCTGATCAATTCTGACGGTACCATGTCTGATCAATTCTGACGGTACCATGTCTGATCAATTCTGACCGTACCATGTCTGATCAATTCTGACGGTACCATGTCTGATGAATTCTGACCGTACCATGTCTGATCAATTACCGTACCATGTCTGATGTAATACCTGACGGTACCTGACGGTACCATGTCTGATAAATTCTGACGGTACCATGTCTGATCAATTCTGATGGTATCATGTCTGATGAATTCTGACCGTACCATGTCTGATGAATTCTGACGGTACCATGTCTGATGAATTCTGACGGTACCATGTCTGATGAATTCTGACCGTACCATGTCTGATCAATTCTGACGGTACCATGTCTGATGAATTCTGATGGTACCATGTCTGATCAATTCTGACGGTACCATGTCTGATCAATTCTGACGGTACCATGTCTGATCAATTCTGACGGTACCATGTCTGATCAATTCTGACCGTACCATGTCTGATCAATTCTGACGGTACCATGTCTGATCAATTCTGACGGTACCATGTCTGATCAATTCTGACGGTACCATGTCTGATCAATTCTGACGGTACCATGTCTGATCAATTCTGACCGTACCATGTCTGATCAATTCTGACGGTACCATGTCTGATCAATTCTGACGGTACCATGTCTGATCAATTCTGACGGTACCATGTCTGATCAATTCTGACCGTACCATGTCTGATCAATTCTGACGGTACCATGTCTGATGAATTCTGACCATACCATGTCTGATGAATTCTGACGGTACCATGTCTGATCAATTCTGACGGTACCATGTTTGATCAATTCTGACCGTACCATGTTTGATCAATTCTGTTATGTTTGTAGACCTATAAATGCTACACATGTTTATGAAAGTGTTTATTACAATACATAATTGTATTTACCAATAACATTTTTACTTTATCTTCAAACCAAGGTTCATATTTCATAAACAAAAAGTAAATATAGTACACAGTTTAACTCTGAAGTGTTCACAAACACTTCTACAGACGCCGTTTTGAAATCTAATAATTATATTTTGTGTTCTGACACTGACCATTTCAAATTTTATTTTTTTACATTTCCAAATCATAATTAAGTTTTCGTCAATTATCTTCAGTATTAATTTATTTTAATTTATTACCCTAAATTGATAAATTTGAATACTTCAATCAATGACTGTATGGAGCCAGATAAAATTCAAGTGTTGTTGTTATCACAAATATAACTACAGCTAGGCAATGTCCTTTTTTTCAATCTTGATTTAATGGTATTTTATATATTTCTGCATACACATGCATCTGAAAGGATTTGGAGAATCACAATTCAGTGAGTTCAGAACAAAACTTTTGCATTGTTAAAATCTGTCACATGACACAACTGATAATTTCCTGACACTTTGAGGTCAAAACATACTGTTGTCCCTTCCTCCCTATGAAAACAGATACCGGTAAGTAAGTATGATCAATTGTACAGTACCGGTTTTGAAGAGATATAGCCAATATATCACAAAAATAGGCAATCAAATTAAAAGTGGCCATTTCCTGTGTGCAAGGAGTCCATTTCACAATGTTTGCCTAGTAAGGCCTACTAATATATGATAAACCTACTATCATGAACCTGATCAAGTCTAGCTCTCTTTAGAAGCTGTATGAAATCCTATGATCCATTTCATGTTAAGGGTGTATGTCCAATATCCAGTGGAGATACAGAACTAGATAAGATAGTTAGAGAGAAGATGGAATTCTATAGCCATAAAGCCCGCCATTTATATTAAACCACTGTAGTTTCTGTAAAACATTAAAGGTTTCATCATTGCAGCCTTTCAAAAAAAAAAAATTATCAATCATATTTTATTGGTCCATTTTGATTTGGAACATATTTTCATATTTTTGTTGCAAGTTACAAGTGTGATTAGACACAAATTTGTGATTAATCTTTTGTAATTATGATGATGTAAATATGAAAATGCCAATAAATAGCATAATTACTGATGATATCAAAACCAATCTGTGCCTGATAATAAAGCTCGTTTGTGTTACATCAATTATGTCATTGTCCTATAATTGTCCATCCACATCCTGAGATCAGAGTATATATGTGTTGATGGAATTAATCTTTATTACCACTAACTACATTAAACTATCAATTATAAACAAAAAATTCCGCCCATCGGCCTTCCAGTGTTGGCCTTACAAGTACTTCTTATACATAACAGCACAATCACTATCAGCCATGTTTTAGACATACTACAGTACAATGACTAACACTTGGTGTTTCTCATATTTCCAGGTCACTCTACCAATAATGGAACAAAAATGGGACTCCTATGCAGAAAACACCAAGAACTGAGAAAAACGGATGCATTTCTGTTTTATATCCAACCAAACCTTTTTTCTAAAAGCTTTGATTTTAGTCAGTTGCGAATACCGCTCAAGCTCTGTAACACTTCAGGACCAAGAATGCATGCAGTTGATTGTGAAACTATGCATTCTTCCCAGCATAACCCAAGTTTGATAGACATTGCATGTGCATTGCACACATGCATGTATCACATGTGTATAAAATTGAATTATAGCCTGTACATGTATTACACACATGTATAAAATATATTACACATCCCTATTCTATCAGACATGTGTATTACATCAGTATTATGTATCCTGTATTACATGTATCACACTTTACTCATCATATGCCTGTTCTTGCCGCAAAAGTTTACTGAAACAAAGCATGCTTTGGTTGGTTCTATTGTACTTACTGCATTGAGCAGCCGTATTTTTCTAACATCTCAAAATTCTTACTAAGTAGTATGTTATGTCCCTGTTACGTGCACATCACACAGTTCATTGCGGAGTGGTGTCCATTTCACCGACAAATACACATGTAATCTGCACTGTACCGAAAACCTGCACACTATCTGTGAGTTTTACTGCTGAGGGATATAGCCTTGCCTGGCAGCACTAGATAGTCTAGACAGTGTGTGGGGACCCTAAGATCTCACCTAAATTTTCTGAAATAAATACTTTGATTACATTTATCAAAATATTAATACCCAATTGTTGAAAGTTCTATTAAAATATCCTTTATTTGATTAATTTTGCATGAAACATAACTGGAAATAAGCATCATCGTAAGAATGCTTAGCTGAAGATGGGGCCAGCAGTGGAATGTTAACAATTTAGAAAATTAATGTAACTGTCTACAACATTGAAATTCCTTTTGATGTGCTTTACATAATCCACATTGCATCATTTTTCTACAGATTTAATGGTATTTGAATTGAAATGTTCCTGATTTCTCATGTATACAGGTAAAATTTGATATACACAGCTGAGTACATCATATCTGTAGTATTATCATGTGTTAAGATTTCAAAACAGCTTAGTGTTCTTCAGAAATTTTGTCAACAGTGACTTTCTGATGGAAATGGAATGTGATATCTCAATTCTACAGAGCTCTAGATACATAAATATTTGTAACAGCTGGAATGATGAAGCGGTCATTGTGATATCAAAGAGATTTTTTCATACAATCAGACAGAATAATCTTTTTTCAAAAATGAGTTTGAATTCCAAGTCATACGAAAATTCATATTATTTTTATGTTTTCCTGACTTGCTTTCCTGAGAAATTCAACGTATGAAGTGTAAAAAACATATCAGCACTTTGCTGTATGTATAGGCCTACATGTGTGTATTAACAAAAGCCCACTATAGCTACTGCACAGACACATCGGGTGTCTGACTAGAAACTTGCTCCTTGAACATGACTTCTGATTTTATGTTTTAACTAATTATAAAAAAATTTATGATGTAGAGACACAATGATATCCTTCATATTTCCCTAATTTATTACATTCTATCAGACTAAATCACAAATTTTTATGTTTTATCAAGTTTAAGTTAATTCTTCATTTCACTCATTTATAAGTCTTCGCTTAAATCAGCACAAAATACAGAAATGATTAAAAACCATTTGATCGTAAAATTTTTTTTAAAAAAAGATACTAGGATGTACATCTCTGAATATAGAATGATATGCCCCTTATGTCAGCATAGTCCAACTGCTTCACTCAGTAGTTACACAACAACAATCAAATTAACCCTATGATTAATAATTGATCCTTATATGGCAGAGAAAACAGAAAGTAAACAATGTATAACATTGTGTGTGGCCTGTTCTAATACACATCCATCCACCATCACACCTACCAGTAAAATTACTACCTTCCAACAGATATTATCATTGATTTATAAATAAATACATTTAAAACTGCCATTTGTATTTTATGTTCTTTAATAGAAGTGTCGACTAAATTTATATCATTCCCACCACGGACGATGTTACCGAAACCAAAAAACTTTTACAAATGTACATGTAAAAATTGCATTTATTATACGGACCAAAGACATATTTCAAATAAACGCATTATTGAAGTAAAATACATGTCTAAGGTTTATATCGTGAGTTACAAAAGAAGACAGGTATGCCTGAACGCCCATATATGTATTAGAGCACGTTTTGTCAATGAACGGTCGCGACCGACTGTACTATGATAGCCAATGTTAGTTCACACAGGGAATATGACACACGGGGTGCGGGGGACAAGTTTTCATCTTATACAAGAACAGACTATCGTCAAGATCATACACTGACAACGCCCTTGTGCAAGAGAATACAGTGTGTTGTTTTAGAGTAATGTGTGCTGAAGCTGTGTGTGGGAGATAGTTCATGATTCACGGAGTTAGTGTTACACAGGTCCCCACTGTCGAAATCTAGGTCGAATCGGTGTGCCTCTCAAGAAACACGCACCTTGCAGGATAAACATATCGCACTGAACACTTTAAACTCCTAAATACTGACAAAATATAAATATGTGGCACTTACCTTAATCAAAATAGTATTCCAAATAATTGAAACGAAGGTAAACATACATCACCAAACTTTTAGCGTATAACCACCCTCGTCTCTAAAATCCAACTAGTGTACTGTAAGAGAAATCGTACATTTGGGGACATGCGCAATCAGACAGGAAGTTGCATGCTCTCTTTCATTGAGCTGAGTCGCTAGTCCTTTGTTTGTCGCTTAAAAAAATCAGTTTAAGAGTAGAGACATGAACAGTTACTTGCGTACAATGACGAAGTGAACCCTACCGAACGATGGAGGTGGGTTTCGTCTTCACGGCTAGTCAAACAAAATAACAGCGCTAGTGTGGTGGAGCCAATCGGCTGGATAACCCGCAAAATTTAAATCTGACAGCTGATCGAATGCTTGCGTTAAGAGTGTGGCTTTGTCGTATATTTAGGTCTATCTGAAATACCGCCTACATTGCAGCCGACTGAAAATATCTGAAATCTCGGAATATCAAGTACAATTTGCTTGTTCTTGTGGATTAAATGTTTAACGGACCTCCTTCAAGATATTGATCTATTTTTCAAAACTCCGCTGACGCAAATATGAAAAAAAACATGTTTCGATTCGAAAAAAATGACTTTAGAATAGATGTTAATACATTATGGTGACCAATGTGAATTGCATTCAGGGATTTTAGAAACTCTAGATATAATAGGTCCAGAAACTATTATTGTATTCAACAGCGACCTCTTGTTGCACGTAAGTCTTGATACCGAAATACCTTTTAGTGTACACGAATGATAATATGAAATAAGCACCGAGAACTTCTAGAATGTATAAACCCCTACTTACAGCAATCGAATCATTAAGGACATCTCTATAGGAAGTAGGAAATACCGAAAAATCCATACAATTTCTGAGTCAGCATATTTTTGGAAACTACAGTCATGGACTTGGATAGCAAAGTCTATGGTATAACAAGTATTGACGTCTTCGGAAAAAGGAAATACCAAATTCATTTGAACAGTTTTATATTAAAATCAATTAGACGAATTTCAGCATTTTATGTTAAACACGGACTTCATGTCGTAAGTAACAAAATCGATTCTGAATCGTTTGTTACGCCCGTGTCCGACATCACATTTTTTATCAACTACTGGTACGGTTCTTTTGAAATTACGAATTGAATCATGGGACAAGTGCATCGTCCCATCTAGGATTTTGACATTTTTTTCGATCAATTCAGGTTTCCCTCTAACACGGTGTCTAGCCCGTAGCACTTGACGGCACAATCTCCAACTACCCATCAGACTAAGGGAGATTATTCAAATTCTAAAATGAGTCATGGCTAGACAAACTACGGACTTCATACACATTTTAGTCGTGTCCGTAGATAAACATTTATTTTTTATCGGAGATCCGTATTTAGTCTCGTGATTTTCTTAAACTGCGACCTACAGAAACAAATTACGTTGGTATTTAAAAATAGCATTACCATACAACCAGTGAGTTATGATTTTCTCCAATTTTAATTACCATCGTACCCAGATACGTGTATTTGGTAATGGTATAGGATATATAGGGTAAAGCTTAGAAATATCTAATTAATACCGGGTAGTTTCCGATGTCTGATTGAATAAGTTACCTTAAGTCAGAAATGTCTAATTGATACCGTGTAGTTTCCTATGTCTGATTGAATAAGTTACCTTAAGTCAGAAATGTCTAATTGATACCGGGTAGTTTCCGATGTCTGATTGAATAAGTTACCTTAAGTCAGGAGGCCAAATGAGTTGTAATCAAACGCACTATTAGATAGTATATAAACACTGAAAATGGCATTCTTTGACTTCGACTGGACAGCTTACACTAAGCATGGTTTAATATGTCTGGTATGTGTACGTTCGTCCAAAGCTTCTGTAAAACTCAAATGGACAATTAACAGGTATTTATACCTGGTCTAACCCTGTTTGAAATTAACAGGTATTTGTTATTCAGTAACACACAATTATCAGGTATTCGCACCTGCACCCCGAGTTTTTGTAAAATTCATATGGCTAACTAACACATGGGTCCGGCTGGAGATGACCGGACACAGAAGGGGTCACGGAGACGGAAAAGCTGTCAATCAATCAATCAATCAATCAATTAATCAGTCATGGAGATGACCTCCGGTGACTCCTCCACAGGTGTCCGGTACCACGGTCTGTTGCCACCACTGTTACAGGTATCTACATGTTCAATACATTTTAGAGAACATAGACCAATGTAATATAGATGTAAAATTGAACTGTAAATGCTGTTGTGTCGTCTAGGTAATGATATTATTCTACACTTTGTTTATTCTATCATTTTACAACAGTTGAATTATTATTATCAAAATTATTTCAACTTATATTGGTGTTTGTTGGGGTGTCGAGGATTTGGGTGGTGTTGGCGGTGGGGGGTTCGGGGAGGGGGTAGGCGATGGTGGTGTTGGTGAGGTTTGGAATGGTGGGGGCGGTGTTGGTGGTGTTGGTGTTTGTGTGGTTTGTGAGGATGGTGTTGGTGAGGGTTGGGATGGTGGTTGAGGCGGTAGTGGTGGTGATGTTGGTGTTTGTTGTGAGGATTGGGGTGGTGAGGGTGGTGTTGATGAGGGTGGGGATGGTGGTGGCGTGGGTAGTGTTGTTAGGGGTGGTGTTTATTTGGGTTGTGAGGGTGGTGTTGGTGAGGGTTGGGGGGAGGGGTGATGGTGGCAGTGGGGTGGTGTTTGTGGGGGTTGTGAGGGTGGTGTTGGTGAGGATGGGGATGGTGAAGGTGGTGGTGGTGGGGGTTGGGGTGGCGGTAGTGGGGTTGGCGTTTGTAGGGGTTGTAAGGATAGTGTTGGTGAGGGTAGGGGTGTTGGTGGTGGTGTTTGTTAGGTTTGTGAGGATGGTGAGGGGTGGGGGTGTTGTTGTTGGTGGTGGTGGTGTTTGGGGTTGTGAGGGTGGTGAGGGGTGGTGGTGGTGATGGTGGCAGTGGGGTGGTGTTTGTTGGGGTTGTGATGGTGGTGTTGGTGAGGATGGGGATGGTGAAGGTGGTGAGGGGTGGGATGACGGTATTGGGGGTGGTGTTTGTTGGGGTTGTGAGGGTGGTGAGGGGTGGGGTGATGGTTTCATATCATTTGAATATGTTTATTGACATCTTATGACAGCTACGCGTAGATAAATTTTCAATTAAAAAGTAATAACTAAAAATATTAATTATGCTTAATATTCTAATTCGCCGAGTACTATTGACGCCATGTTGTGTTTTGTATGAGGGCTGATTGATAAGTTTTGGACCTTATATTGCACTCTTTTTCAACATAACCACCTTCAGTATCTATTCACTTTTGTCGGCGATGTTTAAGGGCCTCAGTCCCACTTTTAAAGAAGTCCTTTTCTTGGCGATTCAGAAAGTCCTCCACTGCACGTTGATGTTTGTTCCTTTTGCAGATAATCTACCATCAGAATACCATCAGCATCCCAGAAAACCGAGGCCATAACCTTTCCAGCTGATGAAACAGTCTTTGCCTTCTTTGGCAGGATGTACCAGAGCGCTTCCAGTGTTTAGACTGTTGTTTGGCCGCTGGGGTAAAATGATAGACCTATGTTTCATCCATAGTCACATACTTCTATGCAGAAAGTTAGCAGGATCTGCCTTTAAAGGGTTCAGATTAGCACCCTACAAAGTCCGCCTGGTATGTTTCTGATCAACTGTCAGAAGTCTTTTTAAGAGCTTTCTCATCGCAAGATAATTCGTGAGAATGGGATGTACTCTTTTCTGTAAAATCCCAAATGTACTGGCTACCCACAGTACTGATGAAATCTTGACCAGTCGCCGACCCACAGTACTGGTGAAAACCTGACTAGTAGCCGACCCACAGTACTGATGAAATCTTGACCAGTCGCCGACCCACAGTACTGATGAAATCTTGACCAGTCGCCGACCCACAGTACTGATGAAATCTTGACCAGTAGCCGACCCACAGTACTGATGAAAACCTGACCAGTCGCCGACCCACAGTACTGATGAAATCTTGACTAGTAGCCGACCCACAGTACTGATGAAATCTTGACTAGTAGCCGACCCACAGTATTGATGAAATCTTGACCAGTCGCCGACCCACAGTACTGATGAAAACCTGACCAGTCGCCGACCCACAGTACTGATGAAATCTTTACTAGTAGCCGACCCACAGTACTGATGAAAACCTGACTAGTAGCCGACCCACAGTACTGATGAAATCTTGACCAGTCGCCGACCCACAGTACTGATGAAAACCTGACCAGTCGCCGACCCACAGTACTGATGAAATCTTTACTAGTAGCCGACCCACAGTACTGATGAAATCTTGACTAGTAGCCGACCCACAGTACTGATGAAAACCTGACCAGTCGCCGACCCACAGTACTGATGAAATCTTTACTAGTAGCTGACCCACAGTACTGATGAAAACCTGACCAGTCGCCGACCCACAGTACTGATGAAATCTTTACTAGTAGCCGACCCACAGTACTGATGAAAACCTGACCAGTCGCCGACCCACAGTACTGATGAAATCTTTACTAGTAGCTGACCCACAGTACTGATGAAATCTTTACTAGTAGCCTACCTATGGAATAAAGATTCAGTTTTATGTATTCATTTTGAACTTTTAATTAAAAGTCTTGGAATCCTTCCTTTAAACTCCTCGTAAAATGTTGCCCTATGATCCACAGCGGAACATGTTCTCTTATGGTAACCCGTAAAATATCACCTTATAAATCCCGTTGCCTTATGATGAAACAAGATAAAACATGCAATGTTGTTCCATGATGACACTTGCAATGCTATTAGCGGAATTATCATTCTTTCTACAGCTATAGAAAATAATCTGATGTTCATGTCTTTGATGATGTAGTCATTGACTGGTTTGAATTTGAGATACGTTTCAAAACGACGCTTACAAATAAACAATAATTTTTAAAACATGTTATTTTTCACAATTCAAGGCCATTTGGATTGTTTCCCCTGATGACGATAAAACGCTTATACGAGTTATCTACCTTTGATCATGTTGCCATATCTAATGGTCATCAGGCTGGGAGAGCTGAAGTTTTTAACTTCTTTTTTACCCATTAATGGATGGTTACAACCTGATTGTGACTCCACATTTATAGAGACATGTGGATTTTAATAACGAATTTGATACATTATATTTAGATATTTTTATTTGAACTGATCGCAAAATTAGCAGACAAGCAACATGTTATGTTTTATTTGAAATTAAAAAAAAAAAGAAAAAAAAAAGAAAAAAAAAGAAGCCCATAGGTCTTATGAAGCATAGCTCACATGGTGAAATATGCAAAATATGCTTCGAAGTTGTCCATAATCCGATCATTTCTACAGGAGTAGAAGGATTTCAACGGATTTCCCCTATTTGGCCCCGCTAAAGGGAGTGGTGGGAGGGGGAAGGGCGGGGGCGATCGCCACAGTTTATAAAAATATTTTTCTTTATTTAACAATGTTTGAGACCACCTTTGGGCAAAATTCAGTCATTGCTACAAGAGATGCATGATTTAAAAGAATGTTCTCCATTTCCACCATTGGCCTTACCCTAGGAGGCTGCGACCCACTGTTTATACAAATGTCATTTCTACAAGAGGAGTAGGAATTTAAAATTCCCCATTTTGGGCCCCGCCTCTGGGGGACGCGACTCACCGTTTATACAATTTTTTACCTCTTTGCCTAACTTGATGCTTCCGTGACCAAATTTGTTCAAAATCCTGTTAGTTGTTTATGACTAGTAACGATTTTTAGGAGAAAAGTTAACGGACGGACGATGGGCGCCGCGGTATGCCATAAGCTCACTTGGCCCTTTTAATTATTAACGACATTTTAAATACATATAACCAATGAAACACCCACTATCTACAGGACTTTATCTTTTTGTGTTGATATGAGGACGCAACACAAAACCTCGAATTCAGAAAACTGGTTTACGTTACCCCCGGTAAAGAACAGAGGTATGAGATTTGGACACTCCCTCCCTGTAGCGGTTTGTTTCTCGTGAAACTGAGAGTCGTATCTGTGTGCGCTGTCGTGACTGCCCGTGGATAATATCGTCCTGCTATTGTTCGGAATGACATGCGGTGTGCCGCCCGTATGTCGTTCCATGAAGTCGCGACCAGCTGTTACAAGACATCCCCGCCTCAATATGATCCTGACTGTTGATAAATCCACCAACCACTCGGAAGTCGAATTACTTCCATAATTTACGTCATTGGGAGGTTTTACCGTTATTTTAATGTGAATTTTTCAAACATGGCAGATTTCGAGAGATGATTGGTATCTATTATTAGACATGATACTTTGATCGTTTATAAGGGATTCTTTCATCGGAAAAATACACAAGCAAAACTGGAGATAAAATTCAAAGATGGTGTATCTCATACTATGGTTATTTAGTCGAGTCTCGAGCAGGAGACGCGATACTACGTAAGGTGTGGTGATGTAGTTACCGTATTCAGTAAGAGTGATGTCCCTTACATCATAGATAGATAAAAATAATACAAGGTGGATCAACCCTCTAATTCATGTATGAGAAACCCTCTAATTCATGTATGAGAAATCACCCTCTAGTTTGATATATTCGCGGAACTGACATATTAGCTATGGTGATCATCGGGATGTAGGGCTGAGAGGACTTAGTGCGGCGAGAACAAACACGTTTTCTGCAATATTTGCCGAAATATTTGATCATGTGATTAAATCTCTGAAATTCAATTTCATTTCCTATGTGATGCATAGAACTCGTCAACCCGCCGAAGGCTTTAAGGATTAAGAACGTAGTATGAGAACATTCCTGTAAAACCATATAGATATTCCCAATACCATTCACATCGTTTGCCTTCCTAATGTTATCTAATCTTTAATTGATAGGAGAAATATACTTCTCCATGATTTATTAAAATGCTTGAACTCCGTCATTATTGAAAAGATTGATATCCGTCATCGATTTACAGGACAGACCTCCGTTATTTATAGAAAGGGCATATCTCCGTTATTTATTGAAAGGACAGATCTCCGTTATTTGTAGAAAGGACAGGTCTCCGTTATTCATAGAAAGAACATATCTCCGTTATTTATTGAAAGGACATATCTCCGTTATTTATAGAAAGGACATATCTCCGTTATTTATAGAAAGGACAGATCTCCATTATTCATTGAAAGGATAGATCTCCGTTATTTATAGAAAGGACATATCTGCGTTATTTATAGAAAGAACATATCTCCGTTATTTATTGAAAGGACATATCTCCGTTATTTATAGAAAGGACAGATCTCCATTATTCATTGAAAGGATAGATCTCCGTTATTCATAGAAAGGACATATCTCCGTTATTTATAGAAAGAACATATCTCCGTTATTTATTGAAAGGACATATCTCCGTTATTTATAGAAAGGACATATCTGCGTTATTTATAGAAAGGACAGACCTCCATTATTCATTGAAAGGATAGATCTCCGTTATTTATAGAAAGGACAGATATCCGTTATTTATAGACCGTGACCTTTGACCTACATTTGAAAAATTGTGCATGTAATAAGCACGTGCCTTACACAGTAAAGTTTGTATGTACCATTTCAGAATTTTGTTGCAACCGTGACATAGTGTTTCATAAACACATCTTGTTTCTGATGTTTTTACAATCACTTTGGCCCTTTATTAGACATTCAGAAACTTCCACCTACATGTCTACAGTGTTTCTGAATGATGTCGCTAGAGATCTCTACATGTCTACAGTGTTTCTGAATGACGTCGGTAGAGATCTCTACATGTCTACAGTGTTTCTGAATGACGTCGGTAGAGATCTCTACATGTCTACAGTGTTTCTGAATGACGTCGGTAGAGATCTCTACATGTCTACAGTGTTTCTGAATGACGTCGGTAGAGATCTCTACATGTCTACAGTGTTTCTGAATGACGTCGGTAGAGATCTCTACATGTCTACAGTGTTTCTGAATGACGTCGGTAGAGATCTCTACATGTCTACAGTGTTTCTGAATGACGTCGGTAGAGATCTCTACATGTCTACAGTGTTTCTGAATGACGTCGGTAGAGATCTCTACATGTCTACAGTGTTTCTGAAT